GATAGAAGTTAGTACTTTTATATTACTATATTATTGTACTTTTAGGTTCTATATCATTAACAAAGTGTCACCATGTATTAACATTACATTTAATTTAGCCACAGAACTTTTGTACAGGAAGTGAAAGGTTTGAATACGAGTCTGAAACTTTGTTTTTTTTGCTTTACGGTTAAAATAAAAAGAACTGGACGTCTTTTCTTGATTCTTGAAGGTCTTTGACCTCTTGAGCCTGGAGCTTCTAACCCACCGTTACATGAAACATCTTGGAGAAACAAGCTGTCCAGATGTCTTTCATCTAACCACGTACGAGTGTCGTGTGTTGAAGGACTGAGATTATGTTTTGGTTTGTTGTTGCAGAGAAAAGTGATGACTTTGTTACTGTGGATGAGTTGGTGATGACTGAAGAGGAGGAACCAGCAGCAGCCACAAGAGGCCAGCCCAAGAAGAGAAGCAGACAAGCTCCTGGTAACACAAACCAGCTCTGCTCTTTAGGCACCACCACCAGAATAAAACCAGAAACTCACTGTGTTCATCTTCTACAGTGAGAAAATCTGTTCGAGGACAAACGATGAGCAAAGAAACCAAAAGAGAGGAAGAAGAACATAATGCTTCAGCCGAACTGTGCATTGTGGGCGGAGACACGTCCGCTCCGTCAGGTGACGTCCAGCCGGAGAGTCCGAAGACGGAGGTGGAACCGTGGAGTAAATCTGACGTCGTCGCTGCTTCCAGTGAACTGGAGCCGCAGCCTGAGCCTCCTGGTGGACAGAAACCACCAGAATGTGAGGAGGAGAAGGAAGAGCGCAGCAAGGCTGAGGTCAAAGGTAAAGATCACTCTTTGACTAGAGAAAAGAAAAAATAATGTTTTCTTCCTAATAAGACTCGCTGTTCTTGTCTTAGACTTTATGTTGTTACTTTAAAGAACCTAAGAGTGTAGCTGGAAAATGGCTTTCTTTCAAGCCACTTTATCAACTTGATGTTGAAAGCTTGAAAAATACCGTACTTGCTGCCGTACACGTCGCTCCGCCCTATAAGTCACATCAGTCCAAATATGACTAATAAGGTGGAAAAATCCTTAAATACGTTGCATCTATTAGGCGTCACCGCTGAAAACACGGAAATGTGGGCCGGTGTGACAATAATCGATTGGCTGCCAAATGGAGGGAGCGTGCACGGGAGGACTTTAACAAGAATTTAACATATTAACACTTAAAACAATTGTTTGCTCGACATTATAGTAAAGATGTGTCTCAGTTAAAGTTTTACTTAATAAATCACTTCAACGGTCAAATCAGCTGCATTTCACCGGTGCAGAGAAATGAGTCTGATTTGACGGTTGCTCCAGGTGAGCTGGACGAAGGTGGCACGTTATGGCAAGCCGATTGTGTCATTAATAGCCACTTTAACCTATTACATGACACAACGGCATGCCATATAACTCGAGCGCCTTCTAGTGGCTGAAATGGCAGTGTTAAATATTTTCAGTCAGAATGAATGAAAACGGTCTGAACTCAGCCAGAAATTAGTTTATAAATACGGAAAAAT